TTTGTTTGCTTTGACAAGTTCTCCCATGTAGGCTAGGATGGCCTTAAACTCACTGTTAAGCCCATGCTGGCTTTGAACTCATGATTTTCCTCCTTTAGCCTCCTGAATGCTGCTATTATAGGCAGGTGCTTAACTTTTTTTCTTGATACAGGTGATAAGATTGGGCTGTACAGCAGTGGATTAAGTGGTACTGAAATTCTTTCCTGGTGACAGGTGTACACTGGGGCTATGAAGAGACCAAGACTTACCTTGCAATTCTTAGTGAGACTCAATTTTATGAAGCCCTCCGGAACTGTCACCGAAACAGCCAGTTATATGGAGCAGTGGCTGAGAGGTTATGGGAATATGGCTTCTTCAGGACCCCAGAGCAGTGTCGGACCAAGTTTAAAAGCCTACAGACCAGCTACCGGAAGGTCAAAAATGGCCAAGCACGAGAGACTTGCCCCTTCTTTGAAGAAATGGATGCTTTGGTGAGTGCCCAGGCTGCTGCTCCACAGACTGATGGCAAAGAGGAGGAAACAGCTGCTTGCCCTATCCAGGGGGACGGTAGTGCTGAAGCTGAGATGCAAGCTGTGGACACAGAAGAGGCCATAGAGGAAGATTCTGATGACAATGAAGAGGGTATTGAGATACCCCCAGGGACTGTCTTAACCCGTGCTCCAGTCTTATTTCAAAGCCCCAGTGGTAAGATTCTTTCATTCTTATGGGATAAGAAGCGAAAGGGAGGAAATGGGACTTAGGAGAAGATCCATTAGACTGAGAATGAGCCTGTATACCCAGCTTTCCTGAGTTCTTGTCTACCTTATCCCTTCCCCAAGTTTCCTTTCTATCAAAGCAGGTGACTTTTGGCGTCCTCACACTACAGCATCAATCGGAGATAGCTGTAAACTTAGTAAATTAGTTGTCATTGATGTTTGAACTACAGTTCCAATTTACCTACTAAGAAATCTGAAAGTTAACATTTTCCAAGTAGCATGTCATGTACCCATTACATGGGTTTATTTATTTTTTATGTATTTGGTACAGGGTCTCACTATGCAGCTTGGACTCATAGTGATCCTCCTGTCTCAGCCTCCCCAGTGCTGGGATTACAGTGTGTACCACCACGCTTGATTTTGGTGGCCAACACAGCTCCGGGGCTGGCAGAGCATGTGGTGCTGGGAATCAAACCCAGCTCCTTGTGCTTGCCATGCAGGCATTTAGACCACCAAGTTATCTCCCCAGCCCTATGTGGGCTGATTTTAAAAGTTCATTTTTTTCTGATTTCACCTTGTATAACAGCTGTATGTCAGCTTTATTCACATGTATGAAAGCCTAACAACCCCTTTCTTAAGACATACTTTTGTATAAGCCTGAGGTTTCTATGGAAACTAATTACATAAATATCAGCTGCTACCTAAGAAAAATACTTCAGGCTTCCCTCCTTGTAGAAAGAGTTCTGATTTTATACTCATGTATAGGTATGTGAATCTGGGCCGTGTTAACTGAATACCCCCAGGTTTGCTTATATATTAAGACCTTTGGCTGGAGATGGAGCACAATGATGGAATGCTTTCCTAAAATACAAAATGCTGGGTTTGATCCCTAGCACTACAAAAGGAAAAGAAAAAAACAAAACCTCAGTCAGAGGATTGATATATACAAGTTACTGTGTGAGTACCTATTGCAGTACCTGGACAGATAGTAGGTATTCAATAAATAATAGGTTTCACTTCTGTAAGTCTTTTAAGTCAGTGTGCTTTAAGAATATTACCTGGAGAATCATTTACGTGGAATATTAATATGTTGTACTAAAAAGTCACTTTTAGGTTTGGGAAATTCTAAATAGCTCTCTTGGAGGCTCACATTACATATTTACTAACAGTAATGCCTGGTTCACAAATGCTTCTGTTCACAAACAATTCAGTTCACGAACAGAAGTGTTCGGCAAAATTTGCTTTCATTCAAGAACTCTGCATTGGGTGACAAACATAACTGGGTCATCTTCCCTGCACAAACACAAATGCAGCCCATCTTCCCTACTCTGACACATGGTCATGGCTTTCTCTAGTCGAGATTGTGGTCATAGACAGACCTGTGCACGCTTGCTGTGAGGCTTTTTTGTTTGCTTTTTAGCACATACAGTACTGTACAATATTATTCAATCCAGCATGGCTCCAAAGAAAGTGCAGAGCAAGCATGGTGGTAAAAAGAAAGTGCAGAGCAATGATGAAGGGAACAAAAATGCGCAGAGCAAGAATGGTAAGAAGGTTCTGAAGAAAATAACCATTGAATTGAAGAAGCAAATTGTAGAAAAACATGAGCATGGTATTCGTGTGACTGATCTGGCCTCAGAATACAAGATGGCAAAGTCAACAATCTCAACTATTTTGAAGAATAAAGATGCTATCAAAGGAGCTGATGTGGCAAAAGGAGTAACAACATTAACTAAGCAGAGGACACAAGTACTAGAGGAGGTGGAAAAACTTTTATTGGTGTGGTTGAATGAGAAACAGCTGGCAGGTGATAGAGTTAGTGAAGCTATGATCTGTGAAAAAGCCAGGAAATTGCATAGTGATTTACTGCAAGAAAATCCCTCTACAAGCGCAACAAATAATGAATTTAAAGCCAGTAGAGGGTGGTTTGATAAATTCCGCAAGAGAAGTGGCATCCACAGTGTGACGAGACATGGTGAAACTTCCAGTTCTGCCAAGGCCAGAAGCCTACAGTAAGAAGAAATTTGTGAAGTCAGAATAATATATTGCCCAACAAGTGTTCAACTGCAATAAAACAGTGCTCTTCTGCCAGAAGATGATAAAGAGAACCTATATAATAAGGCAAGAAAAGAGACTGCTGGGGCACAAGTCCATGAGGGACATATTAATACTTTTGCTGTGTGTGAACACCAGTGCCAATCTGAAGATTAAGCCACCATAGTGGACCATTCCCAGACCCCTGGTGTATTTAAGGAATGGGATACAAACAAGGCCAGACTGCTTGTCGTGGAGAGCCAATGCAATTGGGTCAGAAGGCAATTTTTTCCTGGGATGGCTGCATGAGGTGTCTGTCCCTACTATTAAGTATCTGTCTGACAATGAACTGACTGAAAGATACCTTCTGATGGGCACTGCCCCCACATGTACTCTAGCCATGGTGGATGATATGGATGCTGAGTATAATTTACCAACACAACACCTACCCCCAACATAACACCATAATGGTCTGCAACCTAGACCATCACGTGATCTGTAACTTTAAGAAGCTGTACGCAAAGGTGCTCTTCATTGGGTGTTTTAATCTCACTGAAAAGATGTCCTTGACTGTGAAAAAGTTCTGGAAGAAATATTTCAATGTCTTCTACTGCATCAACCTCACCGACAAAGCCTGGGAAGATGTCACATTTTGGATCTTAAACTCAGTGTGGAGGAAACTGTGGCTGGAATGTGTCACTGAAGTCACTGAACGTGACTGAAGGGTCTGATGTACAGGAGGTGGAGGAGATTGTATCCATGGGCAAGAGTGTGGGCCTAGACTTCGATGGTGCAGACATAGAGGAGCTTGTTGAATACCATAAGAAGCTGACAACATCAGGAACTTGCTGAACTCCAGAGAGTAGCACAAGGTACTTGTTGAGGAGCATCCACTGAGGAAGAGGAAGATAGGAAGTTAACAGCAACTGATGTGATACAATTCATTATGGAAAAGTGGAATGAGTCCCACAGTTTGAGAAACACCACCCCAACATAACCGTAGTGAATAGTATTGAATCTGATAAACAAGAACATGGTCTCTCATTTCCAGAAGGTTATACAGCACAGGAAAAAACAAGTGACATTAGACAGACTTTTCATCAAAAATTGAGCCTGCAGCTAAAGAGACAAAAAGAGAAGAAACCTCTAAAGGAGATCTTCCTGATATCCTTATGGAGGAGGACTTCCCTCCAAACAATAACCCTCCTTCCTGTCCTCCATGACAGAAGTTGCTTCAAGCAAGGTTAGTATTTTCTCTTCATATTGTACTATACTTTGTTTCAGATTCTTCTGGTTAAAAAAATACATATGGTTCAGAATGGCATAACCTTATTTACATTGAACTTTATGGGAAAATTGATTCAGTTCGTGACCATATTCATAGGGATCAGAACAGATTATTTACCTTATGGGGAAATTTGATTTGGTTAACAACAGTTTGATTCATAACCAGAATTGTGGAACAAATTAAGTTTGTGAACCAAGGTACCACTGTATTCAATGTCCTGTTTATTTAATGAATATTTCATGGAACATCTAATAAGACTTAAGCTTCTGGGTAGAGATGCTGCTTTAGGGATACATACAACAGGCTGACACAATGCATTCTTTTGCTTCTAGATTTAGTTCGGGGAATTTGGAATCCAAAAATTTATCAGAAACATGTAAGTGTAAATTCTTATACCATAGGTCCAAAGAAGCTCGTATTTGTTACCCCTCCCCCCTGGATTATTAGTGCCTATTTTATAAAATATTGGGTTTCAATGGTACAGTATATTTTGATCATAGAAGCTGGGCATTTGGTTCTTAGAAGATTAAAAAGTTGTCTTAACAGAGCATTTGGGCATTAGATTACATGCAGTGAGTATTCTGAAATGCAGTATTTTCCTGTGAGCAAAGAAAATGTTTTGAAGGGATGTGGCTCAGTGTAGAGCTCTTTTGCCTTGCATGCATAAGGCCCTGGGTTTAATCCCCAGCACCACCAAAAGAAAATGTTTTAGGGAAGTAGTTCCTAACAAAATTTTTAATCTCAGAAGACCTTTTATTCTTTGAAGGATGCCAGATATTTTTCTTTTTTGGCGGAACTGGGGATTGAACTCAGGCCCTTGCACTTGCCAGGCAAGTGCTTATTCTGCTGAGCTATCTCCCCAGCCCCAAAATATTTTCCTATTCTTGTTTTTATTTCCAGCATATATGGAATTTTAGGGAAAGAAAACTAAATAAAAATTGTTCCTGCACATACAGAATTTTCCCCCAAAAGTCTTCCTAGGCCATTTCCTTCTAATCCCTTTAGAACATGAACATGACAAAGAACACAAACAAGAATACCATGACAAGTCCGGGATATGGCAAAATACAGTGTTCTTGGGGCTGGCAAGATGGCTCAGTGGTCTAAAGCACCTACTTGGAACAAGCTTGGCAAAGCACAGGGAACCACGGTTCGATCCCCCAGCACCACATGCCAGCCAGCCTCGCCCCCTGGTGGGCTGAGCTGGCCACACACACACACATACACACACACAATAAATAAATAAATGTTAAAAAAAAAAAATACAGTGTTCTTTAAAACCTAGTGCTGCACTTTAAAGGATTTTCTAATGATCTTATAATGTTTGAAAGAAATTATCAGCCTTCTCATATAATTATGTAAAAGAGAAGCACATCTGCTAAGCACTTAAACTACCAAGTAGGGAGTAAAACATTGGAATTTTAACAATGGCAGTAATTTGGGACCAAAAATTAAACAGCTAATATAATACTTGTTTTTCCTATGTTTACTTATCACAGCACTGTTAATTAAGGAAATTGGTAACTTTATAAATTCTGTTTTTAATGTCAGGTTTTGAGGCTGAATTTAAGAATGAAGAGAATACAAAACAGGATATTTCTGAGGAAGTACAGCTGCACAGAACATTAGTTGCAAGACCTGAGAGGAAAATTTCCTGTCATTTTAATCAAAGTAAAGGCAATGAGAGTGACTATAGACCAGGAAGACAGTGTGAAAAGATCCCAGGGGAGAAAAGAGGAAAACCGAGAGTTTAGGTAAAGTCCAAAGTCATCAGAGACCATACTTGGGAGAGACACCCTATAAATATCTCAGATGTGGCAAAAGCTTTGGCCCAAACTCCTGTCTTAGGCATCAGGTAGAAAATCCATACAAATGTGCTGACTGTGGAAAAACCTTCAGTGGGAGTGCACGCCTGATCAGACACCAAAGAATCCACATTGGGGAGAAGCCTTACAAGTGTCTTGACTGTGGGAAGTGTTTCCGTGACAGTTCAAATTTCATCACCCATAGAAGAATCCACACAGGAGAGAAACCTTATCAGTGTGGTGAGTGTAGGAAACAGTTCAGAGCTCAAGCCTTATAATTCATCAGAGAACTCACACAGGAGAAAAGCCTTATCAGTGTGAAGAGTGTGGAAAAAGTTTCAGTAACAGTTCTCACTTCAGTGCACATTGGAGAGAGATGCCATGTGTGTCCTGACTGTAGAAAGAGTTTCAGTAAGAGTTGTGACTTACGTGCACATCATAGAACCCACACTGGAGAGAAACCCTATGGATGTCATGATTGTGGCAAGTGCTTTAGTAAAAGCTCTGCCCTTAATAAGCACCAAGAAATCCATACACAAGAAAAGCTTCTGTCATAGTTAGTACCTGAAAAGCCCTCAAAGGAAAGAGCCTCAGTCTTAATATTATTTTATTTGGAATGTGTTCCAAAAGTGACAGGTACCCAGCTGGCTTAGGAAGTACTCCTTAGAATTTATGCTAGTGTGTGTTTCTTATGCTCTTCCTGGACCTAGAGTCAAATTCTCAAGGCAGTCATTTTAAGAATGAAAAGATTAGCTGGGCATGGTGGTGCATGCTTGTAACCCTAGCACTTGGGAGGCTGAGGCAGGAGAATTGCCACAAG